AAAATATTAAGTGTTTTAAAGCGAAACGGTTTTATTTCCTAAAAAATTTTTGTAAGCAAAAATTTTGGGAGAAAGGAAAAAGAGTTTTTTTTATAGAAAAAACCTTAATATACCAAATTTATTAAACTAAAATTCGTATTATGTTTAATGAATTTAAATGTATGAACATGCATTATATAAATGCCATTTGTATAACGCATTTATTTATATGAAGTTTTTTTAATACAATGAAGATTTACAAAAATTAATTTTAATAGAAAAAATCATAAAATTTTGTAATTTTTTATACTTTAATAAAGTTAACAAAAGTATTTTGTGTAATGTTTTGCAATTTTTTTATAAATGTTTCTTTGTTTCACATGTTTTGCAATTTTTTTTCATATTTCTTTAATATAATAATGCCAAAAGTAAATTCAAAGAAATCTTGTAATGAACCTTTAAAAAATATGAAAGTCTTTTACTACAGCACAAAAAAGAAATTTGTTTAAAAAAACTTCATCCTGTTACTAAAACAAAAAAATCTAATAAATTAATATGATGTTAGTAAGGGTATGATTAGTAACATTTTAAAAGAAAAGGACCATTAGCTTGCTATAGACCTTGAATTATATAAAGCTGGGTTGAAATGTGAAAAAAAAACCTTTACTTTTATTAAGGAAGCTTAACTTTTTAGGTAGAAAATATGTTTTAAGCTAGCATCGTTATAACTGATAATATTCTTTTAACAAAGGCTTTAGGGTTTGCTATTTTATTTGGTAAAAATAAATTTAAAAGTTTCAATAGATAGGTAGACAATTTCAAGAAATAGTATAGCTTATGACAATATAATATATATAATAAAGCTACAAGTGTATTACTTGATAATCTCAATATAATACGTAATAAAATTCATAGCATTCTTAAGAATTATGACTCTAACGATGTCTTTAATTGCAATGAAATGAGTTTATTTAGGATGATGAAATCCTATCGCACAATATCAAATGGCCAAGTATTTGAAATTAAACAATCAAAGAATTGTGTAATTGTTCTACTTACCTATAATGCAACTGGGAATGAAAAGTTGGTTCTTCTTTTTATATACAAGTATGAAAATCCACAAATCCTAAAAAATATTGATAAGGAGACCCTTTCAGTTAAATATTACTGAAATAAAAAAAGTTGAATGTAAGTATTAATTTGAAACAAATATATTAATAACTGAATGATAAGGCAAAATTAAAATATTTTTCTTTTTGTTGATAATGCCCTAACATATTGCTTTATACAAAACCATCTAATTAATAAATATTACCATCAAACACCTTTTCCTAAATATTACGACGTATCTTTAACCTTGTGATCAAGGTATTATTAATAGTTTTAAGGTGAGAAATGTATTCAATTTAAACATTCCTATATTTTATACTTTATTTATACTTTAATTCAAATTTAACTTGTTTTAGACATAATATCAAAAGCTCTATCTACAAAATTAGATCAAATATTTTGATCATTTCAATAATTATCATATCGAACCTGTAAAAATTAATATTAAAATATGTGTGAAATATGTTTCTCAAGCATGAAATAATGTAACACAAGAGACAATTCAAAATTGTTAATTAAAAGCAGATATTCTGCCTAAAGATGACAATAATAATGAAGAAAATGAAACTTCACCAATATACAACTTGAACTTAAACGTCTAAGGAATTGGAAGAAGTTCAAATTTTAATTAATAAACTTGTTTTTGATGATTCTTTAACTGTCAAAGAATTTGTTTGATTTGATAAGTCTGAGATCATAGGAGAAATGATATCTAATGAAGAAATTGTAAAAGCAGTTTTACCTAATAAATAAGAATAAGAAAATGAAGGAGAAGAGGATTATTTACCAACAATTACTCATAATGAAGCTATTGAAGCTTATGATAAAGTAATTTTATATTGGAACAACAGGAGAAAGTTTTCAATGTGAACAATGAAGAATTAAAGCTTATTAAAAAGCTTAAAAAAGAAGTTTTGAAATACCAGTTTATTTCGGCAAGATAAACTAATCTCAATAAGTTTGTTACTATAATTGAATAATAATAGTAATTTTTTTTTACCATAACAATGTTAATAATAATTTGATGATATTTTTTTATTTTAACATAATAACAATAATAATTATTTTTTTTTAATGCAAAAAACATTAATAATTTGAGGAGTATATTTTTACGTAATAAATGTAATGATATAATAAAATAGTATCATGGAATACAAATTTAATGCATTGACTAAATAACACCCCTTCAATAGTGTTAAATTTTTGTTAAACTTATGTTGAAATTTCCTATTGTTTTTTTTAGCAAATTGTGGTATCGTTTTTTTATAATAATTTATATTTATCACCTAGGTGATGAATTATTATTATTTCTAATTATATGATCTACTATATTAAAAAATTTACTTGTTATATTTGTGTTGATCTAATTTTATAAAATAATATGATGGTTGAATTATTTTTAGAATTTGAATCAGAATTTTGAACATAAAAAGTTTAAGCATTTCGATTATGAGTTTATTGTATTATTCAAGTTTTTACAAGATATCAAATCAGAATTTCAATTCAATAATAAAGAAATTTATTTTATTTTAGAAGTATTTTACCATCATTTAATTTTTCACTTTGAATACTTTCAATTTTATCGATCATTTTATTAAATCAAACCAACAAATTTTTTAATTTTTACAAACATAATAAAAAAAATAGCTATGCCAAGAATTATTTGGAGGAATGCAGAGACTGATTGCTTAGAGAAGACGCAACTATAAATATTATTATTTTTTTCGTGAAAATAAATTGAGATTTTGGCAAAACATCACAAGAAGAATAAATTGACAATATAACAGCAATTATACTTCTTGCTAGATGCAAGCAGAAGTAAAGAAATTTGGTAAGAGATTATGGGGTAAGTAAATAAATAAATAATAATATGAGAGGCGATCAGTAGAAAAGAAGAAAATCCAAAATTTTTGTTAATTTTAATTATTAAGCTAATTTTGTGCACATGACCGAGATCAGCCAAGTGGTCCAATAATATAAATTTTGATCAAAGTGTGAATTTCCACCTTTTCTACTAATCGCCTTCCATATGTTGATAAATATAACTTAATAAATAATTAATATGTATCCTTTAGGACTTTTGTGATTAGTGTAATGGTATGAGAAGAGGAGAAAGGTGATCGTATAATGGGAAATGATTTTATAATCTATTCTGAACTAAGTTTTGGGTAGGCTAAGTAATTATTATATTTAATTAATAATTCTTAATAAAAATTTTAGGAATTTTTAGATTTATATTAAGTATTTTTTACATTTTTTAATTACAAGGCATCATTGAAGAAGAGCTTATAACATATCGACAATGAACCAGTAGTTGAGAAGTAAAAAGTAGAGGGTTTTATTTTTTTTGTTTTTTTTAATTTTTTTATTTATCGAGGTTTTAATTTTAATTTTTATTTTTATTATGGAGGTTTTATTTTTTTTAATTTCTTTTTTTATTGGAAATGGGATTTTCATTTTGTAGTGTTTATTTTTTTATTGTTTTTTTTATATAAATAAGTAATATTAATTAATTGTATTTTGAATAAATTTTCTTACTTTTTTCTTTTATTTAGTAAAGAAATCTCAAAACTTTTAAAAATAAATTTATATTTATTAAATAAATTGTTTTATTTAAGATTAATTCCAATTTTTGCATTACCAAAATTGCTTCAAAATTACTTTAACTTTAACCACAAAGAGGTTATTCTATAAAATGACATCATAAAATTAACTAATTATATCATAGTAAAATTATGTTTGTATTTTTCTTTTTCAGTAATTATTTATTATACCAAATAATTCGTTATAGTAATAACAAATTTTCTTATAACGAAGGACTAATCAGTCCAGACACCAACTTCATTATATTGAGATGTGACTGTAATATAAGCACACAATATGTGATAAATTATACTAATTACATTGCTTAAAGTATATAATACATTTTTTCAAAAAAAAGCATTTAAGTTAAATTTTATTGTAACAACCCAACCTACCACTTTAAGTAAACTTGCAAAATGAATAAAAAATACATATATATATATAAATTTTAAGTCTAAATATAAGTTATTTATATTTGATTTTGAAAAGAAAACCATTTGTAAAAAGTTATCTATGATGTATATACTGATTATTTTATCAATCATTTTCAAAAAAGTAATTTAATGTACTATATATCTGATGTAACCTGATATGTATAATATAATTATACAAATATTGATATTTTTTTATTTACTATTATGATTTTATTATTATTTCTTTAGATATATTATAAATGTTAAATAAGATTATACACCGATCTTTTTTTCTAAGTTTTTGAGTTTTTTTTTTTGTTTTAAAAATTTTTTAGATTCAGTTTGGACCGTTATGTCTCTTTTAATTTGATTTTTCAATTTTTGGTTAGTTTTTTGTTTTTGTTCTAATTTTTAGAAACTTGCTACGCAAATTCATATCTGAATTTGATTAAACTCCTGTTGATTATACCAATATATAAAATCTATGTGCATAACGTAAAATTTGCATAAATTATTACTAAAAATAGATATGTTATATATAAAATATAAAAAAGGTAATTTTGCATAAGAAATTATTATTGATTTTCTTATTTTAATAATAAATTTATCAACTTGTATACATAATTTTTAATTTAGATAGATTATGCGTTAAAGTAAAGGATGAACTTCCATGCCGACTGTCTGCAATTTATCAAAATTAACTGATGGGAAATAACAGTTAAGTCATGTTATTGCAATTTATTGATATATATTTTGATATAACCAATATAACCAACAAACAACACATCCCTAAAGTATAAAAAAACGTTTATTAAATAAAAATACTTCGACTTTAATGTTTAAATTATTTCAATGATTATTAATTACAAAATCCAAATCATATCCATTACCTTTAATCCTTTGCTTACTAATTTATTATCCCATAGCCCCACTAGCCATGGCTTCTTCAACTTCATTAACTTCACCTTCCATAATTTTACTTCTTACAAGCGCTTTTTTTGCTTCCTCTAACTTACCTGCTTTCTTGAATATTAAAGCCAACTTTTTACAACTAACAATATTTGCTCTGACCTGATCTATATATTTATCTAATGTTAATTGTCCTGTCTCTACTTGTATAACTAATAAATTTTGTTTAATATCCAAAGAAGCCTTTCTATCTGTTAAATCTTCTGGAATTGGTTTACGCTGCGCTTCTAGTATCGTAATTTGATTATTAACTACATCAAGCTCATTTTGTATTACAAGACTAGATACAAGAAGGTCAACGCTAGGGAAAAAAAAAATTTAATTAATAAAAACGAGACATAAACCCTTATATATTATTATTTTAGAGAAAGGAAATACTTGTTTAATTGTTGTTCTGCTTGTTCTAGTTCACTTTGTGCATCATCAGCCGAAACAATATCACGGCTTGGGGTCGCAGTAGCGGGTGTGTCACGTGCTACCTTCTGTTTTGCAACAGGCGTTGATATTTGAGGTGTTTCGTTTTTAATTGGAGTAGGTGTACTTGGTGGAGGCGGCGTTTGGGGAGTGACAACTTTTGGTTTAATAGGCGTTTGTGCTAACGTTGGACTACTAGTATTTCTAGCAGGAGTTAATGCAGGAGATGATGTTGATGCTTGAGGGGTAGATGGAAAGCTAGCAAAAGCTGGATTATTTGCATTAAACTCGTCAATAATAAGCCATTTTTCAGTCTTTGAGATTATATCTGGATTTATTAAAGGTGTTCGTAGTCTCAATCGAATTTCTAACTTGCCACCTGTCGGCTTCCGTACGTGATCTACAAGCTGAAATAATATTGAGATGTTAACGATTTGATTGGTAAAAAAAATAAATGATTACGTCAACACATACATTAAAAACTTCATGAATCTCGGCTTTACTTAAAAGTTGATCTAACTTAACAGTAGCTTTCCCTAATGAAATATCTTTTCGTAAAAATCCTCTGTAGTGAAATACTTCGAATGTGGCTTTCTTTGAGTTCAAATAACGTTGAAACGCTTTTGTACGTTCTATATTTATAATTTTTTTCCAATTAAATTCTAAAATTATAAAAAAAATTAATAAAATGCCGCAATTGAAACTAAATAATTGAAAAAAATAAAATTAGTCATATCAACCTGGATCCATTCCACGTGTAGCAGTCGAAGTGTCGCCTTTACCGCTGCCAGCACCAGGACTACCTTCGGTAGGCCACCCAAGGTCCCAACTTACATATGCATCAACATCCTTTCCATTCACGTCTTTGTTACCTAAATTGTAGGCCCTCTCAATACCAATTTCCATATCATTAGCAGACAAATGTAAGAAAGCATTTTCAACGCAATATGTTATATCTTGAAAATGAAATGCTGGTACATTTTTGCTATGCGTACGATAAGAAATCAATGATGTTAAATCTGCCACAAAAGATTTTTTATAACGGTAAAAAGTCGCGGCTAGAGTCTTGTTTCCGGTTTTTAAATAATATGCTGATATTGTAGTACATAAATCGACTTGTGATTCTAATTGAGTTATTAAACGCGCATATTGATCTTCTTTTGAGATCTAAAAACAAAAATTATATTTATATTTATATATATATAAATAAATATTTGTATTAAATTTAAACTTTTTTTTTGCAAAAAGAATACATTTTTACCATAGCAAATGGTTGTTCGTCTTCATTCATAATATTCAAATTTGTCGCATTATCTAATACCGTTAATACCTTTTTTTTAGGAGTAGACACTGGCGTTATATTCACTTGCGTTTTGTTCTCTGTGGTGGATGAAAAAACTGTGCTTTGAGAAACGATTTCACATTTAGAGACATCAGGCTCACCAGGAATTTCCCATCCTTCAGGTAACTCATCACCATTTTTCAAAGATTTCATTGTTTTATAAATGATTGTTGCCGTATTTATACATTCCTCAGCACGCGGAACATTGTTGGAGCTTTTAAATGCAACAGCTGCTTCTTTATATTGTTTAAATCTTTGACTTAAAGTATCAATAATTTTCTGATTTTGTGGGGAAATCTCTGAGTTTTTACGTGTATTTTGGGATACGGGAGATGACAATGATGCTTGTTCAGCAAAATTTTTCGATAAATCATCCAATTTCTGCGAACTCGGGCTACTCCCAACTTCAATTTTTGAATCTCGCTTGCTTTGTGACAAAATCTGAGCTCGCTTCGCTTCCAGTTGCTTGTAGGCCTTCATAGATTCTACAGCCCCGACTTTATCACCTTCTCTCTTTTTCATAATCGCGTTTAATTTTTCTTCTTGAATATACTTTGCTAAAACGTTTACATCATTGGATTGTAACATCACTTCAAGAGAAGGTTCCCCTTGCAAACTTATTAAAACGTCATGAGTCACATCAACCTCTGTTTGAAGGTTGTCAGATGTTTTCACAGAACTTGTTGTAATTTGAGTTTTTGTTTGAAGATTATCGGATGCTTTTACGGAACTTGTTTCAATTTGAGTTTTCTTCAAAGTCAATTTCTCATTTGTAGAACGATTTATTTCATCCTTCTCATCATGACCACCACCTCCTAATTCTTGTAATTCCCTCTTTAGAATTTTTTGTTTTGACCAAGTTAGCATCTTATTTAGATCAATTATTAATAGTTCAAAGAATCATACTTACTAACAAGTTTGGATCCTTCATATCTTCCTCATTAAATTCTACTTCATCATCATCTGCACCTAAAGCACCAAGTGCTTCGATATCAATATCACCAGGAACGCTAATCGAATTATGATTTAATTTTGCTTTAGGTGGTTGTGGTTTAGGTTTTTGCTTTGATTTACTTTGTTGAATACCCGAACTCAGAGCACTTAATTCTCTCTTTTTTTTTTTCAAAAAGAAAATGAAAAATTAAATGTAAAATGAAAAATCATATAAAGTTTTTACACGTTTCCCTCACAATTTTTTAAATAAATAATAAAACAATCTAATACCAATAAATCCGGATCATCAAAATCCATTTCACTTAAATCATCATCTGCAGGTAAATCTAAATCATCAAGTCCCTCTATGCCAAGACTTCCTAAATCCAATGAACCGGCAGTACCTTTTTTACTGGGCGTTTTAGGCGAGCTGAACATCTTTTATGATTTTTATTAATAATCCTATGGTTTTTTTTAATTAATTAATTAAATGAATGAATAAATACTAGATCTGGAGTGATAATTATTTGGAGACCGATAGTTAAAGAGCGTTACCAAATAAAAAATCATTTTCACAGAAGTGTGAAATCAAAAGAGAAAAAATGAATGTCGAAAAAGAAAAAAGATTATCAATTATTAACATTTAATAAAAACTTCACATAAAAAAAAAATTTTTTTTTTTATTAATATGTTCCTACCAAATAATGAAATTTTGAGCTGACAAGTTAAACATTCAAGACAGAGAAGAGGGCGAGAATTTATTCACTTTTATGTGGTGGTTACACAACCATCAAAAACAGATGGTACGCAGAGATGTCAACATTTTACTACGCCTTTCCTAAAGTTTTTTTTTTTTTTTTGCCCACTCCGAATATTGTAAAACAAGAAACAAAAAAATAAAAATGTACAATTTGTTATAAATTTTTTATTTTTGATGATTTTTGATTTTTGATTTTATTAAAGATTAGTTACAATATTGTATATAGAAAGTTTCGCATTTGAATGAATTACATAAAAAATAAAACTATTATTAAAAAGTTTTCATTTCAGAGAATTTATCATATTAATCCTTCATAACTTGTCCAACTTAGGCTGTTTCTTCCTTAATCTTCATATTCTTGTTTGAACGCTCTACTTCCTCCCTTAAACATGGCACTTGAATCATGTTGAATTTCTCTTTTAACCAGACCAATTTTACAAAGCGAATACTTTGCCGCTTTATAAAGGGACCAGCCAAAAACGGTGAATAAAGCTGTGGATAATGCAGCAAATGACAAAATGACCACGGTAGGAACAAAGAATAAAGACCCAAGTCCAAGGAAAAATCCTTCTGCTGCCAAGATTCCCGTACCGGCTACACCCAAGACAAGGGCAAGGGTAACCAAGAAAAAGCAAACGAACATGGCCAAGGGAATAGAGTTTAAAGCTGCCACACCATAACCGAACCAACTTAGAGGAGGAAAATTTTCCCAAGCGTATCTTGCAGCATGACGAGTGGATTCAATTGGATGTTTAAAAGCGTCAACCGTCGTTTCAGTTGCTTGATTGAAAACGCCAAATCCTCTTTCAAATGTAGTTCCTGTTGCTTGATTTAAAGCACCAACGGCACGACTTGCTTTGTCTTGAGCGGAAGAAATTGCTTGTTTTGAGTAATCAATCACATCTTTAGTGGCTTTTGCTGTAGAATTTTCGATTTCATTATAAGAATAATTAGTCATAGGAGCTTCTTGACGGGAAGACATTTTTGAAAGTTTTAATAAAAAAAAATAATTTTATCGTAAAAAAAAGAAAAGAACGAATGAATTTATATATATTTTTAAAATCATTAAAATTAGATCATACTTTGACATGGATTAAATGAAAAATAATGACCAAACATTTACGGATTATTATTTTATTATATTATATTTATATTTAGGATGAGATCATTATTTTAATGTCTATTTTATCAATATGATCATAATGACCAAACTTTTACGAAAATTCTTCATTCATTGATCGTAAGATTAATTAATATAATCAGCGAGCAAATTTGCTTTGCATTTTGGTTTCAAAAAAAAAAACGCGTAAATTTTACACGAACGCTATAACACATTTCTGTTAATCTGGAGATCTAAACAATTATTAGAATGTCCAAAGTGTAGAACATTGTGAATGCATATAAAGTTTTAACCAAAATTTTTTTAGCGTAACACTTTACAGCTGATTTTCATATGGTTACACCATCATTCTATTAAATCTGATAGCCCGAGTATTTAAGTTTGTTGTTGTAAAACAATTTATTAATAAATGCCTTTACCAATTTTTATTAGTTGTCATTTGTTACAAAATATTAACTCATGTTTCTAACAATTTGAGTATTTTCCTATTTATAATTTATAATTTATTTCTCGAAATACTTTACAATATTCTTGCAAAGAGATTAATTTACGGATGTAGAATTTAGAAAATAAACCGGTTATATATATATATGAATTATATTTATGAAAGAATTCAAATATCGTAATTTTCGCAATGAATGAATTTTGACTTTTTGGGACTTTAGTGAAAATTTTTTGACCAGTTTTCTACGTCAGTCAATAAAATGTGTTATCAACACGATCACTTTGTTCCCCGTTTTCATACCCAAAATTGGTTAAGCATAAAGAAGGAATATCGTATTTATGGCGTAAGATGACAGATGATGTTTATGAGAATCAATAGTCCTGTCTATAAAGACAGACCACTTTGATTTTAGGGATTATAAACAGATCAACATTTAATTAAGAAAATATTTTTATTTAGAGTAACAAATAAACAAATACATCTCTATACATATATACATACATACGTATGAAGATTCATAATTTAAGTTACACAACTCAATATCAGTTTTTCGATAGAAACAAGTTAATTTGATTCCGAAAACAGGTAAAACATCAAGAATTTAAATTTCCGTGTTTCTATTGATAATTTATTTGATGAATAAAAAAAGAGTACTTAATGCAGATTTCATGCGGATAAGAAAGGACTGACACCGGCCGGGTATGGTAACCATTTAATGTATATTTCTTATCTCTCGCGATATAATTATCCAACATGTCCAAGATAATACAATAAAAAACGGAACCCCTTAAAAGGATTACAAATTAAGAAAGAAATTCCGTTTCGGATTATCCGAATTATTTCAAAAAAAAACATGATTGACTTGTTTTTCCGTGAATGAGTTACAATTTGTTGAGTACCAACTTCCTTTTTAGGAGGCTTTTTTTTGCCATTGAATCATTGCTAGACACCCTGAATGAAGAACCATAACATCGAAAACTATTGGTGAACATAACAGACAAAAAAATTACATTTTCTGCTCGTTTCTATAATTTCGAGAAGTAGGGTTCATTTTTTCCTTTTTTTTGTCCTATAATTAATTATATTTTTTTTTAAATGCAGATCAAATTTGGTGTTTTTTCTTAGCCTTAGAGCAACTTCCTGGTTTTCTGGAATTATTAGATGCAACAAATTTCCTTTTTTTTTGTATCGATAATAATTATTAATAATGCATCAATGCAATCAATAAATTATTAAGACTTGCCAATTCAACGTTTTATAATAAATTTAATAAATTTGATTTGTTAAATCAAATGAAAAAAAGATCAATTTAGGTATTTTTTTGAAATTAATACCCATTTTCTTTTAATTAAAAAATATCACTTTTGTTATATATAGGAACAAAAATCCGTAGATATATTCCGTAAGTTCAATATGTACAAAATTACATGCATACAATATGTCATGCATACAATATTTGATAGAAGTGGTACTAAATTAATTCAAAATTCATCTTTTATGGTTTTTTATATAACAATGAAAATTGGTCGTAAAAATAATAATGTATGGTTATTTTAGTCAAGGTGAAGTTTTTTTTTTTACAAGGTCTAAATGACCTCTAATAATAAATAACAAAAAAATCGAATTAAAAAATATTTGTAAATTTTACGGAAATTATTTTTTTAAATCCCCCGTTAAGTTAAACTTTACCGTCATTTCGGGTCACTTGCAGATCGATCGGATTTTTTTTGGATCGAACCTGGGCCAATCAAATTTGTGATGTCCTTGAACTGGTCCCAAAGTCATAGATGACGGAAACGTCAAAAAAAAAAAAGAGATCGACTTAATGATTGGTAAAACGGATGACTTTGAGTTACATGACAACTCCCATAAACAGCTTGTAAATTTGTTGTACAAAATAAATTATTACAACAAAGCACAAATCCCTACCTAAAATCACAAATAGATTTCTTTAAAAGGGAAAGAACTTCGGAGAAATCAATTTATATAAATATTCTTAAAAAAGAATCATCATTAAAAAAATATTCTCAAGAAAATGGGAAATAAAAATTCTTCATCCAACTTCAAAAGAAAATCATCAAATACTCTTCTAAATGAACCTGAACCACGAAATTCAAATAATGAAAATGAAGGAACGGAACAGAAATATTATTTACCAAATGATTCGAATGATATTGACGGTTTACACTTGCAACACTTTCTTAAAAAGCACTTATATCATAATAATTTTTCCGTTCCTATTGAAGACAATTTAATTCAAGGAGGATATAAAGTATTAGACGTTGGGTAAGTGAATAAGGAAAATTCAAGCAAAAATTCTAAAGGGACATGATTTTTAAAATGATTCTTTTTTTCTTTTATTTTTTAAAAAAATCTTTAAAAGGTGCGGTCCTGGAACATGGTTATTGGATCTATCGGTGAAATATAAGGATTCTTATTTCTTTGGATTAGACATAATGCCTGTATATCCAAGTGAGGTAAATTAAATTCTATTAAATTCTATTACAAGAACAATGGCAAAGAAGATTAATATTTGTGATATCGAAAAATTAATAGATAAAACCAAAGAATTTAGAATTTATTGAATCAGATATATTTAAAGGGTTGCCATTTCCCGATAATGTATTTGATTTTGTACATCAAGGCTCAATGTTATTTGCTGTAAAAGCGGACCAATGGAATTTTGTAATTTCTGAACTCGTTAGAGTGACAAAGCCAGGTGGATTTATTGAACTCGTTGAATTTACCGGAAGTCAAAACAATGGTCCAATCTTAACTAAGTTACATGACACCTGTAAGTGTACTAACTTTCTTGATGTTCTTTAACCTTATTTTTTTTTTATTTTTTTTAATATTAATATACATTTAAATTCACATTTAAAATATTAGATCATGATTCTTGTTCTCAACGAGGCGTAGATTTGTCGTTATCATGTCATCTCGATAAAATACTCGAATCTCAAGTTAATATAACGAAAGTTCACAAAGATACAAAATCATTTCTAATGGGACCAAATGGTGGTAAACTTGGCATGGTAATGCAAGACGTTTTTTTGATTTATCATGCTTCTAAAGCATCAATTGAACATTTAAGCTTAAAGCAAGGCATTTCGAACGAAGAAGTTAAAAGTATGCTAAATGATATTGTGAAAGAACTCGAGGAAACCAAACCCGAACTAAATATTAGCAGATTTTGGACTCAAAAAAATCCATGAATAATCGCTTTCTTCTCTCCTTTTTTTTTTTTTTTTTTTTAATATACATATACATATATACATACATATACATATTTATATATATCATTTGATTATTAAGATTTAAATAAACGTTTTTTTCTAAAATGAATTTAGTGTCAACACATGCTAAATTTTGCCGTACCATATTAACTTCCGGCTTTTCTAAGACTGACAAGCATTTTGAATACCAAATGATATTTGTAGTAAAATTGTTTTTCAGTCAAAAAAAAAAAAAATATTTTTTTTTTACAAAAATAAACAATAATAGAACACAATCTTTCAAAAACAAAACTCGCATGTGAACCTGAACCAACGGGTTCGTTTAAATAACTAAAATATTTCTTGAAGAGTACTTCGGAAAATATTCTGATTTCAAAGATGGTATGTAAATTATTAAATTAATTGGATAATCTTTATAAATACTTATACAATTAATCCTGGTAAAAATCGATATTCATTATAGTTTGTAAATGTAATCCTTCATCATTTTAATTATGGAGCCACGCGTTTTCGTAGTGAATGAATTTACAATTCTACTATTTATCAATTCTCTTAAATATGTAATTAATGTTTCTTAAAATAAAAAAATTTTTCTTTAGAAAGTGAAGCATTTCTAAATTAATTAGCTTTTTCTTTTAATTATTTTAATGAAATATTTTTTTTTTTGAAAATAACAATTAAAAAGTTTTTAAAAAAAAATCGTTAAAATGTGATGACAATTGATACGACTGATTTTATTTTTTATTTTGAAAAATTATCAAAAAAAAAAAAAGTTTACCTTAACAAATGCTATCGACTTCCGTGCCTACAATGAATTTTTGTAGGGTTGCCCCGAAAAAAGAATGAACTTGTATCAAAAGAATAGAATATTATCGTAAACGTTAATTCTGATTCCGATTTGACGTGCAGAGCAAAAAGCAAAATTATTAATAGTGAATGGGTTAGGTTAAGGAGCTCTTTAGTTTAATACAAACCTTTCAACTCTTAGTTAAGACACAGCGGTTACCTTTTTACGTTTTACTCATAGGAAATTTTATTTAAAAAAAAAAATTATTTGAAACTATGATAACAAATACGCTAAAAAAAAATACATGAATAACATTAATATTAATTTTTTTATATTAAAGACTAAAAAATAATTAGTAAAATCGCGTTATCATAAAAATTTTTAGTATGATAACAAGTGAATAAAATTTATTTTATTTTTTTATTTTTTATAAATTGTTACAAAGTATCGAAGTTGAAGTTAATGAAATTTCAAGATGTTTAAATACATTATCAGTTATTACGATGTAAGTCACCTGACCCGCGATGACATTGTTCCAACTAGGGTTTTTTATTGTACACTCCCCTACAAAAAGTATCCGACCACCCTAAAAATTACAAAAAAGACAAAAAAATCAGTGTTTTAAATAATAAATTAATATCTATTTTTAAAGTTTAAAGTGTAAGACACTATTTAGAAGAGAAGTGTTTTTTTTTACTTAATTGATAGTAAAATTTTGTGAAAATATTCAATTTTCAAAATGGCAAAATTCTCAACTTTTTAACCAGAACAGTTACAGCAAAATAATGCCAAAATGTCGATTCCTTATCTAAAGGATAGCTTATGTTCCTAATATCAGAAAGATTGGATCAGTATTGTCGAGAAATCTGCTTTTAAAAATCATCAAAATTCGGTAAAAATGATATTTGAAAGCAGATTTTTCAACAATTACTGATCTGATCTTTCTGATTTTTGAAACATAACCCTTCTTTTAGTCAAAGAATTGATTTTTAGCATTCATTTTGCTATAACTGTTCTGATTAAAGACAGAATTTTTTTCACTTTGAGAATCAAATATTTCTGCAAAATTTTACTATCAGTTAAGTGAAAAAACACTTTCAAATAGTTTTTTATACTTCAAACATTATAATATATATAAAATTATAACAAAACTCAATTTGTTTTTCAGTTTTAGGGTGGTCAGATATTTATTGGAGGGAGTGTATATCCTCATTACATTCTTATTCATAATATTTTGTATTGTGCATTAGATAATTTTACATTTCCATATAATCGAGTGTTTCCACATAAGAAAATAATTTACCATGGACTCCCAAAAGGTGATAAAGGTTCCATTTTGATGGAAGTCGCTAGAAAAGATACAATACTACGTGCTTACTATATAATTAGGAAATAATTACTTCTTTGAATCAAATTTTAGAAAATTATTCACATTACCTGACCATGAATTTTCACTTGGAAGTGAATTCAAACATTAAAACAAATTATTCCTATCAGATAAAAGGAATTAATTTAATGAAAGCATAAACAATAGCGAAATGCAAGTGTTTTAACTAAAGCTCCGAACGGTTCAGATCAATCCGAAAATTTTTCGGTTCGGATTGTAAAAAAATCAATCCGAAAATTTCGGATCGGTTCGGATTTTTTTCGGATTATAATTCAATCCGAACCGAAAAAAATCCGAACCGAACGGATTCAATCCGAAAATTTCGGATTGATCCGAAGTATCAGTTAATAATAAACCGGTAAAAGTCGCATCCAAATTGTCGGAAGAGACTTTTAAAAATACAATAAAGTCAAACCCGAATTGTCGGAAGCGACTTTTATTAGAAAAAAATACTAATAAAGTTGCCTCCGACAGTTCGGGTGCGACATTATTATAAAAAATAGTCGCATCGAACTGTCGGTGCTAAAGAAAATAATAATAACAGTCGCATCCAAACTGTCGGAGGCACTATTATTATAAAAAAAAGTCGCACCCGAACTTTCGGGGCGACTTTTATTAGAAAAAATGATAATAAAGTCGCTTCCGACAGTTCGGCTGCGAATTTTATTATATTATAATATAATTAAAGTCGCCTCCGACACTTCAGGTGCGACGTTTTCTAATAAAGTCCACCCGAACTGTCGGAGGCGGCTTTTATTATTATTTTTTATAATTAAAGTCGCCTCCGACGGTTCGGATGCGGCATTTTTTATAATAAAAGTAGCCCGACAGTTCGGATGCGACTATATTATTATTTTTTTAATAAAAGTCGCCTCCGACACTTCTGATGCGACTTTTTCTAATAAAGCCCGAACTGTCGGAGGCTGCTTTTATTATAACAACCGACAGTTCGGATGCGACTTTTATTATTATTTTTCATAATAAAAGTCGCCCGACAGTTCAGAGGCGAATTTATTATCATTTTTCTAATAAAAGTCTCCTCCGATACTTCGGGTGTGACATTTTCTAATAAAGTCGCGTCCGAACTGTCGTAGACGGCTTTTATTATCGCAACCGAACTGTCGGAGGTGACATTTATTAGAAAAAATACTAATAAAAATCGCATCCGAACTGTCGGAGCGATTTTTATTAGTATTTAATAACCCGAAATTTCGAAAAATTTCGGATCGGATCGAATCGGATTATTCAAAAGTTTCGGATCAGTTCGGTTCGGATTGACATTTTTTGGATTTATAATCCGAACCGAACCGGGATTTTCAGAGCATTAGTCTTAACTTCATTGTGAACAGACAGGCATAAAAAAATTATTGCAGGTTAAATATAGTTCTTTAATTTTGTGATTTGCCTTTGTAAACCACTGAAATCATATCTTAAATAGCTCAAAATTACAATACTTTGTTTTTTATGTTATCATATCAGTTCATGATTTTTGTCTGTACTTTTTAAAAATGTGAAAAAATATACTAAGCTCAAAATCAGAAAGTGATTTATGCGAAACTTGTCATTCAAAAAATTTACATTCTTGTAAGTATTATGATAATCATTTTGATATTTTTCAAGAAAAAATATATATCCTATGTTATTAAATCAGGCTGAACATGCGAATATTATGCTTGTAAGTTTATCATGCAATTATATTTTTGAATTAAGTTGGAGAATATTTTATAACATGTATTTTTATAACTAGATTATAGAATGCTTATGCTTCGCTAAAAAAGAGATAATACATCTAGTCAATGATAACAGAAAGACCTTAAGAAAACTAATTAATCTTTAAATATAAATGAAGTATTTTTAGTTTATGAAATTGATAAATCAAAAAGTTATTACTTTAAATGCTAAAAGATAGGAAAAAAAACCATGATAATGAAGATAGATATTAATTGACTTTATCACATCTAACATCATTTCAATTATCACAAATAAAATCTTCATTATACAACCATCTTACATTTTATAATTATGTCTTATACCTAAAAGTGAATCAAGTGTAAAAAATCTTCTGTGTGATAATAACTTCTAGAATAGAAATTATCTCATTCTTGATAGAGGCAATGATTAGCTTTAATTATATAAAAGTGAAAGATTCGAGAAGCTAATAGAAAATTTGTTAATCTTATGATGCTGTAATAGTGCTGATAATTTAAAAAATATGTCTAAAAAAATTAATGAATAATAAGAAAGTATGATCTTTAAGAGAAATGCAATTATTAATGTAACTTCAATTTAAATTTTGATGAACTTATCTTTTATAATAGATCTTATCAATTATTGATAATTGGTAAGTAAACTTAATAATTAGTTCAATTAATTTATTATTAAACTAGGATTATTTGTTTTAATAATTAATTATTGCTATATTCTTATATTAAGATAGATTATATAGATTTACCTTCAAAGAATTTTTAACAAAAAAAAATAGTGAAAGTCATAAAGCATTATCAATATATTATTCTTTCATGATCATTTGATTTCTTCAATATCTTTGCACCTACCAGATTATAATGATGATCGCTTAATGTTAGGGTTCCGCAATTCAATTTGATATTTGAATATTTGATTTGATCAAATTCAAATCAAAGAATGATTTAATTGATCAAATCCAAATCAATGTTTGATTCAATTCGATCAAATTCAAAACAAGTATTCAAATATTTGATTTAATTTGAATCAATAGTAAAGCCATTTCCAAAGCTTCAGGAGTGATTCTTACTAAGAAACCTATAGTAAAAAGTGCATCTACAG